AAAAAACTGAAAAGATTAAGGAATTAAAAAAAATTAGACCTTCAGAAACCTAAATATCCTACTCCTTCAACGTCCGCTGTTCCATCCACACTTTCACCCAAGAAACAACCTTCCCCTCTGGCAACACCTAAACCAGTTCCCTCAGCAGTCTCCCAGCCCTTACCGACAAAAATCCGCTACACCCCTCTTCATACTCCCAGTCCTTCCCCGTTAAAAAAAGATCATCCTATACCCTCTTCATAAAAAGTCCTTCCCCAGTTAAACAAAGATCCACCTACACCCTCTTCACACTCCTAGTCCTTCTCCCGTTAAAAATGTTGAAATGCCCCATTCTCCATCCAAAAGTCAAAGAAGCCCCACTCAGGAGTTTAAAGACAAGCGCAAAAAACGCAACGGCATATATACAACTCGGGGGAGTATGTGTGTCATATCTTCTCTGCACAAGCCGAGCGAGCAAAAGACTATGGGAACCGCATTAAGGACTCGAAGTACTTGCTTTCATCAGGCGGTATGCCGATTTAGATGTGGAGAATCCTTACAATTTCCCGTATGCCCAAAGAGTTCTCACGGTCATCAGAACTGGGACTGATGCCAAACAAGCATGGGCGATTTTAGACGAGGCAATCGGATAATTCAAGTTGTCATTAAGCATTGCAATTGTTGAAAACAAGCAGCTCAAGCATTTAAAACAATATCGTGCAAGGAGGGTCCCAGTTTTAGTTCACCCCTCCCTCTTTAGAGCTCTTAAATTGAGATTCCCCTGGGATATCGGTGGAATCTCTCGAGACGGTACCATCAAGACTGAGATGAGACATGGATCTATGGGAGAGGCTGTCGGTATCCTTACCGCGACCATGTTCAAACCAGTGTCCCAACCCTAATTAGGTCTGATAATGGCACTCTGGTTAGCGATTTTGAATGTCCGGGGCCTAAGATCGGTGTCGAGACTTGATCGCGATCTTCAGCGTCTCGGAGTGGATGTATGTTGCGTACAGGAGACCTATTTTTTATCTCGCGACCATGAAGACATTCTGTCCGAGAGGTTCGTCCTCTATTCAGCATGTTTTGATGGACGCTCGAGGGGTGTTTCCTGGATGGCAAGCAAGTCTCTGGACGCGGCGTGTGCTCTGGTCTTCGCGGATTCGACGGGCAAGCTTTGCGTGCTGGATATTACCATAAAGGATAAGGCTCTTTGTTTATGCGCCCAATGACTCTACGCAGCCGCTTGTTTTTCTTCGGCAGATCGAGCCGTTTTTGGAGACATCTCGTTCGGTAGTTCTAGCGGGTGATTGGGATGCCGTCCTTGGTCCCGATATAGATCGTATAGGGCAAAAACCCGGTACTAACAATCCGGATGTGAAACCGTTTCGAGGCTTTATCGACGGGTTTGGTCTCGTCGATAATTATCGAAATGAGCACCACCGGGAGGTAGTATAGACTTGGACTAGGGGAGGCAGTTCGGATACTGTGGTGAGCGCAAGCTACATCGACCGAGTTCTAGTTAAGAGAGTCGAAGTAGGGCTCTTAGAATGTCCAAGTTTCCATTTTATAGTTTACTCGGATCATAGGCTTGTCCGGGTTCGGGTAAACTTAGATAAGCCTAAGATTAAGATGGCTGGCTACTGGAAATTGAACGCATCATTATTTGGTGAGCAAGATTTCCGGGACCAGCTTTTACTAATGCTACAGCGGGAATTGTCGGGGGCTGTGGTTGGGAATAAGTGGTGGGATTCGTTGAAATCAAAACTTAGGTCTTTTGCTGCTGATTTTAGTCGACGACTCAATATAGCAGGGTTAGCAGCGCAAAAGTCTTGTGAGGAAAAATTGATCGGGCGATAAAATCCTGTGTTAGTGGGGACGTAGACGTAGCTAAGGCGGAGCTGGCCTCCTTGCTTATCAAGAAGGATCAAGCTCTGGTAGTTAGGGCTACGCTAAAAAGAATGTCTTGCGAGGCTACGAATATGGCCGCTACACTGCGTGCAGAGGAAGCTCTTAGGGCATCTAGTCTGCATATCGCGCGCATCACATTACCGGACGAGCGGACTGTGACTATAGACGCGGCCATTTGTAAGGCTTTCGGTGACTACTTTCAGGAGCTTTTTGCCAGAGAGCCCGGTCCGAGCGCTGCTCAGTTCGATGCCTATTTGGCAAACTTTCCCCGCCTTGAGGCGGCTGAAGCGGCTTGGTGCGAGTGTCTCATAACAGTGTCTGAGATCTGGGATGCGCTGAAGCAGGTTGGCCAGGACAAGACTTCAGGATTAGATGGTCTTCCCTATGAAATGTACTTGAGGCAGTCGTCCCTTTTTGTCACCTTGCTGGCACTGATTTTCAACAACTGGATGAAGCAGGGGTCTATACCTCAACGCTTCACCAGGGGTGTGATCAAGTTGCTTCGCAAGAAAAAAGACGGTGGGGATGGGGTAGATAATTATCGGCCTTTGACGATGTTAAATACAGAGTTGAAGATTTTAGCCAATGTCTTAGCCGGCCATTTGCAGGTTGTCCTTTCTAGTCTGATTGGTCCTGAGCAGACTTGTGCTGTGAAGGGCAGGACTATTCAGGACAACCTTCATTTGGTACGCTTGATCATCGAGCAAGTCGACAGTGATGCCGCGCTGATCAATTTGGATCAGTCCAAGGCTTTCGATAGGGTTGACCATCGGTTTCTGGAGGCTGTTCTTTCGGCCGCCGGTTTCGGGTCTGATTTTCGCACTTGGATCCGACTGCTGTATGCGTCCCCCGGTGCGCTGGTAGAAGTGAATGGGGTAAGATAGAAATCTTTCATTTTGTCTGGCTCCATTCGTCAAGGATATCCGCTATCTCCATTGCTGTACCTTATTGCGTTGGAACTTTTCCTGCGTAAGTTGAAGACGAATCCGGTCCTTCGCGGAATTTCCTTACCTGGTGCTACCAACTCGGACAGGTACTCCGCCTATGCTGATGACGTTTCGTTTCTGGTGTCGATCAGAGCCGAGATTACCGAAGTCATCAAAGGAATCAAAGGGTATGAGACGGTGACAGGGGCCAAGATCAACCGCGATAAATCTGTTGGCTTGCGGTTGGGTTCGTAGAAGGGAGTTTCTCTTCCCGGACGTTTCCTCTGGACGGACGGGGTGGTCAAGATACTCGGCATCTGGTTCGGTACCGACCTCCTGTTGGAAATGAATTGGTCGGAGGTGAGAGAGAAGGACGAGGGTGCAGTTTGTCTGTGGACTCGGAGGAATCTTTCCTTAAAAGGGAGGACGGAAGTATGTGCCTCGCACATCTACCCCATTCTCCTTTACCGTCTCTCTGTGCTTCCACACCCGTCTGACACTTTATTGGCGTTTGTAAGGCTTTTGTTCTCTTTCTTGTGGGGAGGCAGGGCCGCCATGTTTAGTCGCGAGATCTGTTACCTCCATCCCTCTGATGGCGGTCTGGGGGTGCCTTGCGTTGAGACTCGTCGACATACGCTTCGCATTACCTATCTAGACCGGATGTGTATGCAATTAGATGAGAACGGCAAATTCTGGAAGGAAGACGCCCGTAAAAATTTCCCATCATTGAGAAATGTACGCTCGTGTGATGAGGAGGCCGATCGCACTCCTCGAGGCGAGGGCTCCTTCTATCGTGAATGTCGGCTTACCCTCAAGCGACTCTTACGGGCGAAGGATGGCCTCTCCCGACTGAAATCCAGCCGTTGTCTCGTTTGGTAAAGGCATTATATTAGGTGTTTTCAGTGGGTCGTAGCTCCGAACGTTCAGGATGCCGTTATTGGATGGCGATTTTATTGAATAAATATACTCTTTTGTATATCAAGATATTTTTGTGCAATTTTGGTAAATATATCTGTTAAAATGAGATTTCAATAATTTCATTTTTGCGTAATTTAGACTAAAATTTATCCATCGCACCTTGTATTTAAAGACTGATGATTAAGATTAAAACAACATGAATTTTATAAGAAAAACGAGCATTGTTTTTACTGCATTGGTAATCTAGTAAAACAAAATTATTTATATATTTCTCCCATACTAAACAAAAGGTTGTCAGGTAGAAGCGCTTACATAAGCAAACACTAATTTCAACGACTGAGAGAACTTCTAAAAAAGACAATATCGATTGTTTCTACTCCGAAAATATCTTCCGCAGTTTCCAATTGCTATTGACGTAAACATAAAAATAAATGTTGTGATATATATATATATATATATATATATATATATATATATATATATATATATATATATATGTGTGTGTGTGTGTGTGTGTGTGTGTGTAACCAGTGCTTGTTTTATCAGTCCCCTTTCGTTCTGATATGACAAATCTTGATTTCAAATTCAGAGCTGATATATTATCAGTGTTCCCTAGGTATTTATAGCTGGAGCAAGAACGCTATTAAACAAAAAGTCAACATTCCCTATCAAATGTTCCAAGAAAAAGGACTCGAGATAAACCTTTCCCAAACAGAAACTATGATTTGGAATTGGATTGAAAGCAGTTACGTCACATAACCTGAATCCATCTTAAAATTCGGAATGTGAAATTAAACAGCTTCAGTACCTCGGTGTATAGCCCAGATATGAGAAAGGTGAAAAAGAACTTGAACATAGGATAGGCTACGCTAGATGTAATTCCGCCCAACACTGCATTACTAAAAAACTGACCAAAAATCTGGATTCATGTTCTTAAATAGCTTCTTTATATCGAGATTTTCATGTGAATGTTACGCATGTCACCAGACTCAAGTAGATATATTTAAACTGTCAGCTCTAAACAACTGTATTTAATTAGTACTTTATTCGTAATTAATTAGTACTTAACTAATACTTGCATCACTAAATCATTATTATTCTTGTAATTTTTATTTCCAGGTTTTTAGGTTTTGGAAATTGGTCAAATTATTTTGCTGGTGTATATTTTATCAGACAATATGGCGATTTCTCGTTTTTTTTTTTTTAGGTTTTATTATTTTGTTATGTAATAAAATGTGAGTTTATATTTTATTAACATTAAATGACTTGCGCCTACATCACGTTGAAACATCGGTTCTCGTACGATTACTGAAGTTAAGCAAAGTCGAGCCTGGTCTGTACCTAGATGGGTGACCGCTTTAGAATAACAGGTGCTGTAAGCTTGGATCTGACGGTGATATAATGGCACGGAATTGTTAATTGAAGGACCATGTTCCAAATCCCGTTGGGTTCGTTATATTCACTTACGCACAAATTCTCTTGGGAGGCTATAAATCCACCTCTTCTCCCCCAGCTATGGGTTAATTAGTAAGACTTTATCACTGAATCATTATTATCTCGAAAAAATTCTCACAGAATAAAAATATTTTTGGCTTTAAATAACCTAAAAAGGGTTGATAAACTGTATAAAATGAATGAATCAATCAACTATTTATCTTGCTTATACACTCCTAAATAAATAAGCAGTTCCACACATCGCCATTTTTTTAATCTCATGTAAACAGGAGCTGCCAGAGGTTTCGGTAATTTACTTCTCTGTTTTTCTTTTTTGTAACCAGTGCTCCAATTTAAGGAGACTCGGTTTCAAATTCTGATATTTACTTATTCTTTCATCTTCTTTAAGAGTTTTATTTTTCTTTGAAGGCACCGCCGTATCCATTTCTACGCGTATTATTCTTACTATTATTGAGTGTAAGGGCAGCACGTCAATAAAGAGGCGCTCGGGTACCAATATACGAAGTCCAATATGCCCATCAGGTCACCCAGGCCGATAAGGGTATACCAGAGACATGTACCACAGCCAAATACATGATATAGTGCAGGACTTAGCGAGGGGAACCCCTTCGAAACTTGTGGACTGGCGCTACAGAATCCTAAACACTGTACCAAATAACATAAACCCACATCACTTGAGGAATTTCAACAGCAGCAACAGCTAAAATGGATAGCATATGTAACTCGAAGAGAAGATAATGATATAATCAAGATGTTGCTGTGCCAAACTACTTCAATACAGGAAAGAGAATTAATAATTACCAACTATTTTGCTAAAAAATTCTTTCAACAGAACAATGTTTTAAATGTCAAATTAAAGTAGTACTGGCTGCAGGATCAATGATTTCTGAATGTTTCCTTATAAGGAAACGGCTACTGTTACCATTACATTTAAAACAAGAAAAGAAAAAGATATACCATTCTTCCTTGTCCTTAAGGACACATGGCACAGTGAATAAAGACGTTGGTTAGATCCAGTGACAGGAGCCAAAGAGTTGCGAGTTCAATACCTGATTAAGGAGGTGGAAAAACTTGGAGAGGTGAATTAACAGGAGATAACTGATAACTGACATCCATTAGACATGGCACGTGGAACTAGAACAGTCTGCCCCAGCGAGCGAAATAAAGGGTTCAGTTCGACATTCCAACGGAGCGTACAACGGCCGAAACGTTGTGATAAATATGGCAACAAAGGGGAGGACAATAGTCCGAATAATGTAAATAGTGTACATAATACCTCATCTCAGAAATATAGACAGATACTGAAGAGTAATAAAGCCAGATAAACAAAATACTTTCGGCATGGTCAAACAAGATCAGGATATTAGTCGCAAATATTCGTGAGGGAACGACTTGTCGAAAGAGATACAGCGTAGATCAGAATATTTGTCTAAATATTTTGGGCACCATTTTTTTTTTTTAGCTTTTTTTCTTTTTTTTTTTTTGTTTTTCATTACATATTCTTTTATTTTTCAGTCAGTTATGTTTTGGAATCTCGATTCTTGCTTTGATGACGTGTGCGCTTCCTCTCTGATACAAGTTATGTCCAATGCTTGCACGTCCGTTCTTCATACTGACTTTCCGTGACCTTTCCATTTAACCCGTTTAACTTCGTTAACAGACGACGAGAAATGTGACACCGGTCACCGAGAACGCATTAGAATAAAGAAGATGCCTTACAAAAGTTAAACAAAGTAATAAGAATCTGAATAAAGTGACATTACGAAAAACAGCATCAATATAGCGGGTAATAAGGACGATTTCTTCACAACCTTAAGAGGGCCGTTGAAACAACAAAGACGTGGGTTTTGCAAAGAATGCTGAGAATACCATGGATGGAATATGTAAGCAATTGGGAAGTTTTATGAAAAATGGAAACAAAAAGGACTCTGATATTTAGAATCAAAAAGAGACATTTGGAATTAATGGGACACATTATAACGAAAGCGGGTTTCAAGAATTTCGTTATTACGCTGAAGTTTAAATATCTGGGAAGCGTCTTGACAGAGGACGGTAAGTGCGACACAGAGATCTGTAGGCGTATTGGGAAGGCCAAGAACGTATTCCAAAAGCTGAGCAGGGTACTGCGAGACAGGCGGATATCTTTGGTAACAAAGAAAAGAATACTGAACTGTTACGTGGCATCTGTCCTTCTTTACGGCAGCGAATGTTGAACGATTTCCTCAAAGATGAAGAAGAGACGGAGATGTGGTTCTACAGAAGGATGCTAAGGATATCATGGACCGAGCGTGTGAGCAACGATGAGATCTTATAGAGATTGAAGACAAAGAGGGGGCTTATGCATAATATCAGGAAGGGGCAGTTGAAGTTTCTGGGACACATAATGAGGAAAGAGGGCTTGGAGAATCTGATACTCACGGGTCGA